TAATAAGGTTGGAGGCATAGATACAGATACATGTTCTGTTGTAATTATTGATGATGATGATGATGATGATGATGATGATGATGATGATGTGCCATCGGGTTCTTTTGGCAAATTTCCTTCTTGTTGATTTTTGTCAATTTTATGACGCTTTCGCTTATTTTCAAATTCCCTTGCTTGTTCATCCAAAATAAAGTCTAAATCATGTGATTTTCCACATCTCATTCTTTGTGAACAAAATCCATGCAACTATCATATCCAGGAAAAAAAATTTTTTTTTAAATATTTTAACATTTTATATAATTTCACAAAATAATAATCTAATGTTACCGCATATTGTTCACAATATGAATTTCCTTGAGATCGTTTGGATGGTTTATTTTGAAAGTTAGATATTTTTGCAAGCTCAAATTGTTCAGACTTCAAAATTTCAACAGTAGTAGATGGCAATACAATACAATCATGTATTCGTAACAATAAGTAGTCTTTATTACCAGAAGCTTTTCGTTCCACTTGTTCTCTTTCATATCTTTAATAAACATAATAATTTGATGCATTAATTAATCATGATCTATTGTAAATATAAATATATATATTATTTAAAGAAAAACCTACTTTCTAAATAAATATGACAAAAAACTACTTTTCTCTCTTGTAATATAATCAGCTATATATTTTGTATCAAATATTCCACCAGAAAACATTTCATTCAAATCAGCTACAAAAGTATTCAAATTATCTGGCAAATTTTCATAAAATGAATAATATAAATAGATCAAATCAAGAAATCCATTATGAACTATAATTGGCACATTACGAGAAATAATGTGAGAAAATATAGAACGCAAAATTGCATTTGAATCATTGGCATCATGTTGCTAGAAAATATAAACATCAAAAGTTTCAGATTATCTCATTATATATAATGCATAAAGAAAGATATGTACAAAGAAAAAAGATTATTTACTTGATCTTTTCCAGGGAAGTATGGGATTCCTTTACGAATTTGTTTATTAAAATCAAACCCAGTATCAGATAAAAAAGCCAAACTCTGTGGACTTATAATATGATCGACCTAGTTCATTATAATTTATTAATCCTGAACATCTATTTATTTGATAAATGAATGATAAATGAAAGTTCTTACTTGACTCAACAAGGTAAAATTAAAATTATAAACATTATATTGTTTCTCTAATGGTGATGTTGTTTCTTCTTTTTCAACAATTTCCTCAAAAACTGTAACACCAAATGCTACCAAAGCATGTGACTTTACTACTTTAGATAAATTAATATACCGTTCTTCGATGTTTCTAGGAAAAAAATTGTTATTTATTTTTAAGATAATTGAAAAATATTTTCAAATTACTTACGATGCTTTGGTATTGGCCTCTTTATTGCCTAAGCCAGTAAACTCTGTATCTAATGCTATGAAGCTTGCACAATTTAAAGTTTGTTTTATTTTTAATTGGTGCGAAGAAAGGTTTTCCTTTGTGATATCCTACAGTAATCAAAAATGGAGTTTTTATTTTAGGTTTAAAACCCAAAGTAACAAGCATTGAATTTAATCAATTCTTACACACGTTATAAGCTGGCGGTTGAATTTGCATGTTAATAATATATTATTTTTAAAGATAAAAATTTGCAAAAATCTATTTTGGTAAGATTTTCTCAAGGAATACTGTAACAAAACCAAAGTGAACATTGGTATTACCAAGGATTTCAGGGATCAAAATTTAGTAATGCGATTATTATTAACAATTTTCTTAATTGATATATAGAATTACTCCTATATAAAAATAATTAAACTCATTTATATATATCAGATCCACTCAAGAATTATAATACTATCAGAAGTATTTTGAAGAAAGAACAAAGTGAAAAATTGCCCTTATATTTTCAAAATAAATGATACTCACTCAGTCATTTGGAAACTTATTTAAGGAAAGAAAGGACTACCTATGAAATTTACCAAGAGGAAGGAAAAATAATAGATGTCAGAAAAAGAAAACAAAATGAAAGTGTACTATTACCTAACAAAAAGCAAAAATCATCAGAAGAAAAATAATCTAATTGTTACAATATTGATTTATCTTATTTTTTTATTATATACAAAGAAACTTCTTTATGCAAATGTGATCATATTGCATCACTTATCAGTAAAAAAAAAGTTTGCATGAACTTTACATCCAAGAACACAAATCTTTGTTTTTTCTCATTGACATTGGAATGAGGTAAATAGTCCTGCTTTCTATTGGAATGTTATAAAAGTGTCACCAGTTCACTTATTTTCAGGTAAAAAAAAATTCAAATAACAACTCCTAGTAATCATCATTAAACACAATTTTATTTATTGGTTCAAAAAACAATCAAATAATCAATAAGTATATAATATTTTCATCCATAATAACATTTAAAAAAATGTTTACATTCAATAATGAAATTTTTTATGGATTACTAATTGGACTGTTCTTGGCTTCTTACTTCATTCTAAAACTTATAAAAATCAACTTTCTATTATAATCAAAAAATTGATAAAATAGAACCAAGAAAAGGCCATTTTAAAAATAAATTACTGGTGATAAAAAAATGTTCACACTAAATTGAAAATATATGGAAGGATTTTAAACAATTATTTAATAAAAAGATTGGATTGAACCCTATTTTTCCTTTAATGGAACAGTCATTGAAATTCATGAATTACTTGGAGAAAAAAACTTCTACCAACAAAAAACCAATCCCAGAAAGAAACAATAGAAGTAATTCAGCAATGGTTGAAAGGAAAGAAGAAATAGACAGATAATGAAGCTGAAGAAGATAATAAAAATAACAAAAATATAAATATTAGTAATAATAATAATGATATTGATAATAATAGCAGTAGTAATAGTGAAAGTTGAATTTTTGTCAGAGTGCCCAAAAAATAGATAATAAGTATTTTTAACAAAGAATACAACTCAATCAAATCAGTGCAACATACTTTGTAACAATTTAGAAAAGATTGGCAATATTTTAGAAAGAATTGGCAATGATACTATCTCTCTTTGGAAATTTTTAAAAGAAAAGGAAAATTTTCATTTCACAAAATTGATTGCATTGTATAAATCTTTTGATCATAATTCGACCACAATCATTACATTGTGGTAAAGTATCATCATCATAATGATGGTGGCCAAAATTATTTTAGAAAATCCGAAATAGTTTCACCCACAGACATTGGGAGTTTAGGCTCCTAAACTAGTGGCGAAACTCAAAATTGCCTAAACTGTGGGCGAAATCCTAAACCATGGGCGAAACTCCTAAACTGTCAAACCTACAATTAAAAAATTCATAAATAACAAAACTTTTACATATATTAATTAATCTATATAAAATAATTTTATTATAAAAAATAT